CTACAGGGTCTCACTACGTAGATCAGACTACTAATAGTGATTCTCCTGTGTTCAGCCTTCTAAGCGCTGGCATTACAGATGCGCGCCACCACACCCTGTCTCAATTATGTTTCAGGGCCCGGGGAGATGGCTCAGTAAAATAAGCCCTTCCCTGGCAAGTGCAAGTTCAATCCCCAGTTCTGAAAAAAAAAAAAAAAATCATGTCTGAGCACACCCTGGGGGCAGGGCCTGCACAGTAAGCTGGGGATTGAACCTCGGCCGCTGTGCTCTGCCTAAGCAGGTGCTTTATTCTGCTGAGCTATCTGGCAGCCCACTGAGACTGTAATATCAAATGAAGCAAATCAGACACACAGGTTTAAATATTGCATTGTTTCTCTTATAGGAAAAGCTCAAAGTGTAACTAAGGGACAAAGAAGATCAATATGGGGAAGTAGGAAGAATTTGTTCAAATAGGAAGAAGAATGGGAGGTATAAAGAAGGGGGAAGGAGGGGCCGGGGATGCAGCTCAGCAGGACAGTGGCTGCCCAGGAAGCTGGAAGCCCTGGGTTCAGTCCTCTGCACCAAAAACAAAAAAATAAACCTCACCTAGAAAGGCGAACAAAAAGGAGATTTTTTTAAACAGAGAATGGAAGAAAGAAATGGAAACTGAGCTTCTGTAAACAGGGGAAGAAGGGTTGGAGGGAGGACAAAGGAAATTTAAAAAGAGCTGAGATACATTACATACAGGTACAAATTCACCTCGATGAATGTGATCATTATGCATGACAAATATACAATAATAAAAATAAAGATTAAAAAAATGAATTAAATACCATTAAAAAAGCTGATAAGCAAGCTATTATTTTGTTGAAAACTGCCAAGACCTAGATAATTGTAATCGCTTCCCTCACAATGCTGTCTGAAGGGCCTGTATACAGTGTACAGGCAGAGAGCTTCCCCAACATGCATATGGCCTTGGGCTCGACCCCCCTCACCATCTTCAACACCAAAAACAAATCAGTCTTGAAGTTTTCAAGGGCCACATACTCTGCCTCCCAAACTCATTATCATCAGCCATATCAATTACTTACCAAGTGTGTACTAACACGTGTTTGCCACATGTCAACCTGCTTTGGTGTAAGATCAGGAATCGATAAGCCTAACCTGGAAGCCAAAGCTTCAACATAACCTGCAAGTCTTAAAAAGAAAACAAGAGAACAAACAATAGGTTTTAAAAAATATATATCCTCAGATATCAAAAATGTAATTACTATAGAAGAACAAAGATAATTTTACTTTGGCATAAACAAATGGCATAAACATTTCTTACAATATTTATTTTTCTTGTCTATAATTATCAGTTTTAAAATATTTTCAGATAAATATATTTAATATAGATCAACTGCTCTCTATCGTTATCTTTAAAAAATTAATTCAAGGTATAGAAAATTATTTTATAAATGATTACAATTTATGTACTTATTCCAAATTCAAACCAAAGTACTTTAACATAATATAAATTCGTAACTATTATCAACAAGCAAAAGTTTTTTAACTGTATCAGACTGGTACATAAAGGATGGTAGCCTACAGCCTTCAGGCCAACCTCAAGTATTTTATCAACTCTTAGTTGCCTCCACTGCTCTAGGGCATGAGCTGAATTAATAATCAGTGTTAATCACTTAAAAAGCTGTCTCCGCCTAGATTACGGGGCTGATGTGATTTCCACCGAGACCAAACCCAAATCGCACCCATATAATTAGCCAAAAGAGGAAGACACAAAGTCAAAGCAAGAGGGAGAAGTTAATCATAATGATGAGCGCCGATTCCTCAGGCTTCCACCAGCTCAGAAAGCAGCTCGGGCCATCTGCCACTTGGAAAAAGACAAAGCTTTCATAACTAGTCACCCTTATTCTGTTTCATCATTTCTAACTCATGAAAAAAGGAAAACAAAACGACCAAACCTATACATGTGTCAGGCACAGGAGCTCCGGCTCCGTGGCCACGTACCTGGCCCGCAAGGGCAAGCCCGCAGGGCTAATCCTCAGCAATAGTATTGTTTATATATGTACAAGATATATATATGGGTGAGCATATTAGCATGCTTTGCTGTCATTTCCTGAAAGTTTCATTCTCTACTACACATGACCGAGCAGTATGCTCACATTCAGTCTCCTTATCTCCTATCTCTGCGCTTTGTGGGAGGAGGATAGAATGGCATGATGGCGGAGGTGGTTCTTGCTTTTAGTTCTGATTTGCCCATAGAAACGTACACGAAATACATCTTTAGGAAATGTAATTCCATCTTGTTTATGTTTTGGTAATTTAAAACTTTTTTTTTTTTTAAATTTAGTACAAGGTTTACAGGATCTCACTACATAGACCGGACTCCTAGTGATCCTCCTGTTTTCGCCTCCCAAACACTGGGATTACAGGCACCCACCTCCATGCCCAGTCTCAACTGCCGTCTCAGTGCGCCCCATGGGCAGGGCCGGCACAGCACACCAGGGATCGAACCCCGGAAGCTGCACTCCGTGATTTAGTCCACTGAGCTAGCTGGCTGGCTCCGTTAGAATAAATTTTTGTATGTTCCATAATACAATAATGTCATGCTCAGAAACACTAATGCTGAATGGCTGGGTCTAACTAAGGCATCCATAGTTAAGACACAAAGAAACCCAAGAAACAAAAAGTATATAACTACCCAAACGCACAAATGAATAAAGAATAAACCTACCCCAGTCCAGCTAAGTCTGACACAAGATTTCCCAAAGCAGCAGCTAAAAATTGAAAAACAAATGAATTGTTATAGAAAAGTCACAAAAATCATAATATCACTATGCATCACTAAATTTATCTGATTCCAACAACTATCCCCCAAAACACAGCTCATGGATACCTCTGAATCTCAGGAATTCAAAATAGGGCACAAGTCTGAAAGCACAGTATTCTACCTCCATTAAGTAGTAGGGTTTTTGTTTTGTATCAACCACTTTCCACTTTGGTTTCAATACTAAAACACTATACAATATTTTACTCATATATTTTATACAGTACTTATTTCATTGAATTTGGACAGCTTGACATGAAAGAACACCATATAGAAATGCTGCCTGCACTAAATCACTTTGACTTCAGCGTCTGTTACAATAACACACAAGCTCAAAACCTCACCATCAGGAAGAATAAGGTGGTAAGAAATAGAATTTCAATCTTATTGCATTTAAAATTTTTTCTATCCCACCAGAAAATAAATAACTTAATAAAGACAAAAGGTAAAAGAATTTGGCAATAACACTGAATCACTGCAAAAATTTGTTTTGTTTGTATTTTTTTTAGGGAAGGGCCTACAGGGTCTCACTACTAGGTCAGACTCACAGTGATTCTCCTGTTTACAGCCTCTCAAGAGCTGGAATTACAGGGGCACACCACCACACCTCCGAGTCTCAGTTGCCATCTCAGCATGCTCCAGGGGCGGGACGGGCTTGGCAGGCCCAGGGATCAAAGCCCTGGCCCCTGCGCCTGCTTGCAGGGGCTTTAATCTGCTGAGCTATGTGGCTAGCCCAAAAACTTGTCTTAACATAGACGATTGACAGAGTATTTTTACCCACTGGCTAATATTAACTACCTATAATTTCTCAGAAATAAAAGAGTGCTATGCATACAAAACTAAGAATTAGAAGATTATGACTAAGGAGATAAATAGAAATCTCAATAAATAAATTAATTCCAGGGGCTGGGGAAATGGCTCAGTGGAATAAGCACTTCCCTGGCAAGTGCAAGGGCCTGAGTTCAATCCCTGGTTCCGCCAAAAAAATAAATAAATAAATAAATTCCAATAAACATTCCTCTTCTAAATCTAACCCACCAAAATGCTTTATAAATATGGAGAAAATGGAATAACAGTTTCTATAATTAAATACCTGCCATTGTTGAAATTCCCAAAATAATTCCAATAGACAACTCAATATGGGTTCCCTGAAAAATGATTAGGGGAAAAAAATTGAAAATTAAAAATTAAAAATGAAGTGATTATAAAAATAACAAAGTATTAACAAAAACATATAAAATAGTTATATCTATATGTCAGCACAGCAAAATTATACCCATAAAATATTCTGACAAATGCATACAAAGTGAAGTAATTGACTTAATCATTAAAACTATACATTCCTGCAGAAATAACATCAGTAACATTTTATTCACTGAAATTAAGGCTTTATAAAAATAGAAAATTGTAATACACACAGAAATACAATTTATCACTAAAATCCCAGAATTTCTGCTTTTTTTTCTATCATAAAGAAAGGTGTATTAACCTTCTTTGAATACAAGATCAACTCACATAACATTAAATTCTGGTACTTACCAAAGATTAAAATTCTAGTTTCTAGACAAACCAATTTTTGTAAAACTGTTCTCATGACACTTAGATTTTTAACCATTAAATGATGAAATCAAATAATTTATTCATATACTAATAACATTTAGAGTAACAGATCTACAGTAAAAGTGAGGCTGCATTGTATTGCCACTGAACTTACTTACTGAAAGCTTCAGACCTTCTACATTTATATCATTGTTCCTCTGAAAAGAAGGAACTGAAGTAAAGATTACACTATCCTCACGGCCTACGAGCACTAACAAGGAAAACAACCCCAGGATCTACATTCCTGGGCTAATTCAGATGTAATCCTTCACCAAGGCTGTCCTTAACTTTCAGGAGATCTCCTGAGTACTGACGTTTGAAAATATCTAAGAAAACGTTCAGATCTTTATGATGTAAAAGGAGAAAAGAAAATGTCCCACTATATAGGTATATTGCATTACTTATCAATTATTTGCAAACTAAAAGAAGGTGAGTTTTCCTGAATTTTCTTGCCTGTACAACTTTTGGTTCCACCCTTTAGGATACAGTTATGGCTGAAGATGAATGAAATTACCTGATGCACAAGCTTCCCAGGCACTTAAAGGTACAAACTTTCTGAGATCACCCAAAGAAAAGATTCAGAAAATGAAAGAGAAAGAAAAGGGACAAAATAGCACAGTGAAAAAGAACAAAGATGTGCATCTTTATAAATGAAGAAAGAAAAAAATAACCCAGAGCACCCTATAGAAGAAAGGTTCTTGACAGCTATCACGCCCAACAAAGATACACACCATCTCTAATGCAATGAATCATTAGCAAGGACCAAGAAGAACTTCATTGCAAAGTTTGTATTTAAAAAAAGTATGTGCTTAATCATTTGGTTAAATTTCAGATGCTTGAAGGTCCTCCCAATAACATAAGGAGCCTATCATGTTCCAAGATGGTTGGAGGGCAAGACTCCCCTTTTTCTCTACTCTGTCCCAACACTGACAAAAAATTATGTCCTAACAGGTAAAGTAGAAGCTATAAATCTAATACTAGTTGCCTTAAATGTATGCCTGGTTTATTACCTTAGTACAATGAATCTTCTTAGTCTTCCAGAATATTTTTTGTTTTCTTTTAATGTACTTGGTTGTTGCAGGGTCTCACTACGCAGCTTGGGCTTGTTGTGATCCTCCTGCTATCAGCCTCCCTAGCGCTGGGAGTACAGGTGTGCGCCACTACGCCTGGACTCTGGCCGGCTCAGTGCATGCAGGGGCGGGACTGGTGCGGCATGTGGTCCCTGTACTTGCCTAAGCAGGTACTTAGTCTGCTGGGCTATCTCATTGGCCCCTATTCCAGTATTCTTAAAAATTCCATTCTAATTAAATTTTAAGAAAAGTAACCCAAAACTCCACTACAAGTTATAGAAATCTATTAATGTAAATTTTAATAAATTACGAAGCCCAAGGTTTTATTAATAGCAACAAACAAAGATGTAATTCATTATAAGCAGGTATACAGAACTTTGTTCTTTTAACTACAAGTAGGGTGGCAGCCAGGAAAGTACCTCTAGTAGAAAGAAAACACAAACATCTATGGCAAAAAAGGACAGAAGAATTAAGTAGCAACTCGCTCTTAAAATAGTTGCTCTTCTACAAGGCAAGGGAAGTAATCAGTGTTTTTAAAAGGTAATAAAAACGTCAAAATCATTCTTCAGACAATAATGATCACTTATTTCACTTCTTATAGACTCTAAAGTTAGGTTGTTTACCTACTTTAGTCTCAGTGTTCTGTTACGCCTCACTGAAAACTGTCACTGTGAGCTAACTTGTAATCACCACAGGATAACATTGTTGCCATACCTATCACTATCAGGTGCTGATGTCATGGATGGAAACAGTTATTTCAGTAAAAACTAGGGACAAATTCATGAAATTATACTTCAATGTCAACAGAACAACAAGTTACTGTTACTGGGTCGACTATCACAGGCTACAAAAATAGTCTCCTCTCAGTTATGCTAACAATGAAGCAACAGGCCTGAGCAAGACTAAAATACTCTGCCCCTCACTGTGAGTGTTGCATTTGGTTCACTTTAGTGGGTATATTCTGAAAGGGACAGCCATTGCTCTAGATAAATATTTTAAATAAGACTATACTGAGGTCTTAGTAAGAGCCTAAAAAACCACCTGTTTCCCTCTTCTAATCTCTCTTCAACACAATCCTACCCCCCCCCATGCAAAGTCTTCTGCACAATTCCTTCCAGCACAAGCTAATACTCCAGCATTTGAGTAGTAACCTCCAGCATACTGAGGTGGAAAATGTTAAGTGCTAGTGAAATCATGTGACAATGAAAGAGACGTCTGCCATGAAGACACTTTATATCAGTCTATGCATGAAGCCATGAAACCTTACCTACTTCAGCTTATGAATCTGTCATAACGGAGTTTCCATTCCAATTAGACTGGATTACATGAACTAATCTACCTAACTCAAATTAAGTGGCTTCAAAACAGGCAACATGGTTCCCAGTCCAGTGAGACCTCGCTTCAGAAATGCTTTTGTTTGCAAACAATTTGGATCACAAACGGAAGCATTTGGCAAAATTGCTTTGCTTGCAAACCCTAAAACAGGTGACAAACGTGACCGTGGGCATCTTTCCCTCACAAACACAAATGCGGCTATCTTTTCCAAAACTGCAGAACAAATTAAGTTCACAAAAGGAGGTACCACTGCACTTGATTACATTTCTACACTCACAGATTTACAAGTTGACCAAGTTTATTCTTATATGTGTATTACAAAACTGTCATAACCAGTCAAAAAAAGCTACCACTTTAGAATTATATTCAAGGGGCACGCATTCAGTGTGTCAGCCTTTACAAATCTGGGCCTATGAGACTACTCAAGAATTGCCCTCTACTGGTTCACTGGCCAGGTCTGCCTCTGTGGCCACATAACAGGATACGGGCCTACTGTGAGCGCCGCAGGTTTCTCCACCAGAATTGGCACGTCTGATCCTCATCAACCTGCACGTAAGACTGGACTCCATGCGAAACAAGTACTTCTTAAATGAAACAACTTTAGATATGGTGTCATCTATATAAGGTAAATTACTTTTTTAAAAATTCCTATTTTGAAACCAAATCTTTTATTTATGTCCATGTGTAGTACAAATGAACTCCACAACACCAAGAAGAAACTCTGCGTTGCTGTGTATTTTCCTTATCGTCAACAATTCTAAAATCAATCCATGTTGGTTTATTTTTTTAGGGTCTTATTTTTGTTGTTTTGTTTGTTGATATTTCTGAGACACGGTCTCTCTAGTTCAAGCTCCAACTAGGAGCAATCCTGCCTCAATCTCCCAAGTTCTGTGACTACAGACGTGTGCTACCATTTACCACGCCCGATCTTCTTCCTCTTCTTTTTTTTTTTCCAGCAAGCTCCTGCAATACAGTCCACCTGTACTATAAATAATAGGTAATGGAATGTTTTTCAAAGTTTTTTGTTTGTTTGTTTTTCTGGAACCGGGGATTGAACTCAGGCCCTTGCGCTTGCCGGGGAAACGCTTATTCCACTGAGCCATCCCCCGGCCCCTCAAAGTTTTACAGTCAGTGTGAGACTCTTGGTTCTAACACATAACTTTGATGTTTTAAAATGAGTTTAAATTAGAACCTTAAGCTAGATACTTCTTTGTCCTACCAAGATTTACATAATAGGCTTTTGATACATTTACTGGTAGTATCTAAGAAGTATGACTTTGCATAAAGGACTCTAAAAATGTACTGGAAGCAGATAACTTCTAAACTAAACTATAATCAACCCATTGTATTTGGACAATTAAAAAGGAACAAAAAGAGTAAAGAACTGAGTGGTTTGAGAAGACTTGCATTTGAATCGTGATCTACTCCTGTTAAGACTCAGACCACACGCTATTGGTACCCAACAGCGAGAAGCACGCCTCATGGTAACAGAGAAAAAGCAGCCATTCTCGAGAGTGAGCCGCCTTTTGAAGGAGCACTCCTAACACGATCACATTAGGATGATCATAGCAAAGGGGGACTTTTTCTTGCAATCCAACAAAATGCAACTGACAATATACTCAACATTCTAAACTGAAGATTAAGACAGCTTTGGATTAACTAGGTAGACTAGAGCTGGACTGTGTATTAAACACCTACAAAACACGTGTGGATAGCAAAGTTCAATATGGAATTAATCAAAAAAATGTACATGTGGGATGACAACTATAAACACAAAGAACATCAAAAAACATAGTTTAATTGTCTAGCTGGAAAAGAATAACATAAGTCCTACATGTTTTGTCTAAATACTCTGCCGAAAGTCTTAATGATAATGTATATACCTTTAAAATGGAGCTAGCCTCATTAATATGAAACAGCAAAAATGGCTTTGTTCATTATGCTAATTAAAATTTTATAACTATGACATGTCTATCAAGCAAATGTAGCCCACATTAATTTATCAATTCAAAACAGAAATGGTGAGAAAAAGAACTTACTGCAACAATCATAATTGCATTATCCAAAAAGCCAAACCCTACGAAAGGTATCGCATTGTGGATGAATACTGAAAAACATCAAAAAGAGACACATGTATTTTTAAAATTTTCCATAACTTTAGAATGCCAAAAACCGATCACATAATTAAAGTCACACAAATTAAGAATTTAGAATTTACGTTTCAGTGGCTCCTAATACTGGTATAAGTTTCATTACTTGATAGAAGTTACACTGGAGGAAATACAAAGGTATAGTATGTAAAATAATTGTTAGGATTTTGTATGTAATCTATAAAGTTGCCAAGCTATAATCAATAAAGTAACTGAGGACTTTTTTAGATTACTGTATCAAAAAAAAAAAAAAAAAAAGGTCCCATCAGCCAAATGGCTATGTGTGTGAAGTGACTCTGGACTCTGGAGTTGCTTTTTTTTATTTTAATGCAGTTAATCCACGGAAAATACAATTAAGATATTACCTAAAAACTATGAAAGTTTGATATTACTATAGTGACTTCTATACCAATCAATGAAAGTTGATAAGCAGTAAAACAAACAAAAACCACTTCTACCCACAACTACCATCAAAAACTAAGATCAATGGGAAATAAAATAATAGTACCATGATACAGAATAAATCATAGTTACACAGCACCACGCAGTAGCGCCTAATAGGTATATAATAGGTCTTCTTGTTATTTAGTAAGACTGTCGAAGGTCAAGAACAAAATATTTAATCATGAAGATTATTAAAAACCTATTAACGATAAAAATCAAACAGCACATTAATGAAATGGTATTCAAAGACTTTAGCCTTAAAATTCTTTTACTTTTTGTCCAAGTCTAGGTACTTACCTGATAAACTATTCGCAATTTGACAATCAGAAGCTTCTAAAACATACATAATCCAAACTTCCAAAGCTATAAGTTTAATAGGTAAAGAGTGTACGCTATAGAGAAAGCTGCTTAAATATATCCAGAAATCACCTTTCCACTGGCCTTTGAAACATAAAAATTGCAAAATATTAATGAAAACAGGATTACTTAGCCTTTTGGAGTTAATGAAATAATATTCCTAAAATTGGCCAGTTACAAATATTTTAGAATTCAGGTATTAGGGACATTAAATTAAGATTACACTAAAAACTACTATTCTGGTTAAAAAAAATTGGTCAGTAAAACCAAGATACAATAGCTACTCTAAACTACAGATATATTTTTATGTTTACACCTAAATGAGCATTCTTCACAAAAATTTATTTTTAACCAAAAGGAAAAAATGTGAATTCTTAAAAAAGAAAAATGTATTGGCTGCTACCCTGGGAACCTGAGATACAGGACTTGATTCCTGGCCCTTCAAGGATTACAGGCATGATGACACAGGCACATAAATGGTGCTTTCGGGCGCTGGGGACTTGGCGGGAGGACGCCTGCCCAG